GGCTTGGTTTATTTTTTCAGTTTCGTGTCTAATGATTTGTGCAATTCGAGATCAGGCTGTGGCTTGCCCCAAATCAATTTCATAATTATTTTAATTGGTCTCGAGCATTATGAGCCGAGAATATGGTTGCTGGGTAGACATTTTTCCTGACCTAAGGATATGCCAATGGGTAGCTCACGCCCAGCAAATGCACATTCCATCTCCCCCAACTTGGCTGAGGCAACACCGTACACGATTTTGGGCAGAAAATGTTGCTGTTAATTCGCCAATTTTGTCTAATTAATTAACATGAACATGGACGCGTAAAGAAGTGTTTGTCTGCGAGTGGAAAAACTAGTTTGATCTGTAACTTTAGCCCCAAAGTGCCGAACGATTTTCCGCAGATTTTTCAACTGGCATTATGTAAAGAGAAACTGTCATTCCGAATGATTGATGGGCATCAGGAAGAGAGCGAAGTGGGTGGTGCGTGATGGTTTCATACGGTTATTCGAGTGGCACATGTAAAAATTGCTCAACTGCTCAGATTCAATTACCAGATGCGAGGGGCATTTGAAAAGGCAACCATAATTATGCAGACACAATGAATCAGAGACAAAACTCGAATCGAATTTCACTGTTTATATTAAAATTTCCGCCTTACTCATTTATGACGGCCACACAGACACACACACACACATATGCACTCATAACGGACAAATGTACTTAAATACATATTTACATTGGTACGTACATAAAATATGTACAAATATGTACGGAGCAATCGGGCGAACAATGCGTAAGTAGGGAAATGAACTGGGACTTCGGGACTCTTGGACTTGCTCTCTGGGAATGAGTGTGAGAAGCTTGCCTGGTATTCATTCAGTTATTCACTTCAATTGGCAACCAAGGGGTATTCGAGCGTGCTTGTGGGCGGGGCAGTGGCCTTTGCTCGTGTTCGGGGTCGGGGACATCGCGTCTGGGCTGTGCCAAAGTCCACAAGCGGGAAGTGTCGCTGAAGTACTCGCCAGCGATGATGGAAAGCTCTTCCCGGGTTGATCCAATTAATGGTGTATTATTCTCAATCATCATCTCCTTCTGCACAGCGTACCGAGATCAAAGCGAAGATTTGCGTCTCCCAATGCAGAAACCAAACTCAAAGTTCACATAATTTTATGAGCAAATTTTCCCGCGTTTCCTCAATGCATACTTTTTGGCGGGACGTAAAACTAAATCCATTTTATTTTACGTTCATTTATTAGAAATTAAACAAGACGCGAACGGTTCGTTTCTGCTGCCAGGGCTACGAGGGTAACCTGTCCGACAGCCAGGCCACATGCAAGCCCATCTGCAGAGGCGGCTGTGGGCGTGGTAGCTGTGTAATGCCCGAAATCTGCAGCTGCGAGGAGGGCTACATCGGCAAGCACTGCACGCAGCGTGAGTACAAGAAAATATCTAAAATAAATCCATCCTCCATTGGGAATCTCTTTAAAGGCTGCGATCACGATCGCTGGGGTCTCGACTGCAAGAACCTCTGCCAGTGCCAGAACGGAGCGGCGTGCGACAACAAGTCGGGCATTTGCCACTGCATTGCCGGTTGGACAGGTCAATAGTAAGTGTCATCAGCACCACACCAGCAAAATTATGTAAATAATTCCCCGTGAATTTTTTCAGCTGCGAGCAAAAGTGTCCTCCCGGCACCCATGGCATTATGTGCCGCAAGGCTTGTGACTGCGATGAGAAGCCCTGCCACCATCAGACTGGAGCCTGCATCGTGCAGGAGCATCCGCTGGAGCTCAATGTGAGCCACGTCATCGTGGAGACAGTAAACTCCACGCTGGAGAAAATGGGCATCATACCACGGCCAGCCACGCCCAGTCCCCTGCCAGAAGTCATACTGATCAAGCAGTCTCCGTCGCTGAACTCTGGCCAGCACACACCCAAGATCATTTTGCATCAGTCGGGCAGTGATCTTCTCGAGAACCTGCACACGGCAGCAGCTGCTGGTGTGCCCGCGCCCGAGGTCATCCACGTGATCACCAACGGGGTGACGTCCCCACAGGAGCACTTGGCTGGATTCATCGCTGGCGAGGGGAACAGCAGCCAGAGTGCGAGCGAGCAGCAGTCGGGCCTGGTGACCACTTTGATTGTCATCATGCTGCTGCTGCTGATTGCGATAGCTGTTGGCTCTTTGTACGTCTACCGCCGCTACCATCACAAGAAGGCGATCGTCTACAATGCCAATGGGACGGTGACTACCCAACCCTCCAATCCGGAGGTGGTGCTCACCGAAGCTGTGGCCCTGGGCAAGAACTTCCACGAGCCGCTGCCCATGCCGCCAGTTGTCACGGCAAAAACGGCCCATACGAACGATGGTATGTAAGTGTCTACCTACCGAACACCACAACTGATTTTACAAGTACAAATGTTTGGAAATATCTTACAGTGCCTGGGGAATTATATGACACGCCCAGCAATAATTCGTCGACTAAGACAGCACCCTATGCCTATGCTAGGAAAGAATCTCTCTACTCCATTGTCACGCCCAAGTCGCGGAAGGGCAGTCTGGACTCGCATCTCTATGACGAGATACGCTATCATCAGCAGCAGCAGCAGCAGCATCATCTCCATCATCATCAACATCCGCCGCCGAGCCATGGTCATCCGCAGCACTTTAAGCATGCCACAACAGCTGCGGCGTACTTGCCGGCCAGCGATCATCATCACAGCCACCATCGACCGCATCATGTCAGCCACTTGATAATTCCGCCACAAAACTCCAATTTCCTGCAGGTGCCCACAGCCATCCCAGCCAAGAGGATTGCTCACCTGTAGGCAATAATCATTCTCTCATTCTCTCATCTACAATTATGCCTATGATATAATATGTACTCGACAGTATGTGCGACACTTTGAATATACATCTATGTATGGAGTATAATGTATAGAATAACCTTTATTAGCCTTCATTTAATGCGTTCCCATGGCACTCTTGATTTATTATTGTAACACACAGGAAGTCTACAAGTTATAGGACGTGCGATGATTATATTTGTGTCTCAAATAACCAGCAAAGATGGAAACACCCACAACGAGAGCAACTAATGCCACTATTGAGGATACTGACAGTTTGCTTTCGGAGTTATAGATGTTTAACTCGGTCGTGGTTGAATAATCTGTCGTCTCGGTGGTCTCTGCATTGAGCTCTTCTGTTCCTACAGATGATGTTGCTGTTGTAGATTCTGTGGCTATGGTGTTTGCATTCAGCTCCAATGCCATGCTTAGAAATATCAGCGATATCACCAAGAACCACGTGGAGAGCCGGCACAATTCCATTTTTCGTGCTTTACTTAATTTAATTACAAGCTGTGCACCCGCCGAGTGTTTTGTTCAAACTGCGAAGATTGAATTGGTTTTGGCACAGCAAATGCCAAAATTCCATATAAATATTTTCCCAACGGTTCACTCTAACGATAAGAATTGGGCAGTGGGGACTACTGGCAGTTCAGATAAATATTTATATATATATATTCCTCAAAGCTAAAGAACTTTGTTTGAACGCAGCCACCAAGCCAAGAGCATAAATAATATTGCTCAGAGCTTACAATTTCTTTCGAGCTTTTGGAGTTTGCTCTCCCCGAGAGTCCAAATGATGATAAGGCGCTGTACTATTCGATTCCCATGCCAGCCGTTCATTCGTTCTACGATTCTGCAGCTTTAAACAGTGGGTCTCGACATGCACTCGATTGGGAATTCATTGGCGCTGCTGTTGGGGCTGGCGTTGCTTGCGATGATTGTGGCCATGCCAGAGGCAGAGACGCCACAACTTTTCGGCGATATACACATCCCCAGCGACATGGAATCGCTCAGTCTTACCCGAGAGCGGCAGCAGCATCTTTGCCAGCGTGAGGTGCCGTAAGTACTCGAATTGGAACCTCGTCTTCCTACCTCACTTGCAGCGTTGTCTTTTTTCAAACACAAAAGAACTCCCCACATCGAGGCAATGGCTCTACCATCTTCTACCACCGCATTGAGGTCTGCTGCCTGGGCTACAGGCGCGATCCCTACTCCCACAGATGCGTCCCAGACTGTTCCCAGAGTTCGCCGGATAATTGTTTCAATGGCTTCTGCCGTGCCCCGGGCAGGTGCGAATGCTTTGCAGAGTTCGTACGTAATGCCCACGGTGCCTGCATCCACACCTGTCCCATTTCTTGCCAGGGTGGCAGGTGTTATCTGAACGGGACATGTGCCTGCCATCCAGGCTATGTGCTGGATCGAGAGACGCGTCTCTACTGTCGGCCACACTGCGCCCAGGCATGCGGCTCTCATGAGGAATGCGTCGCTCCAGGACTGTGCGACTGTTCCCCTGGCTATCGTCGCACTGACGAACTGGGCTGTCAGCCCATTTGCACCCCGGACTGTGGCTATGGCAAGTGTGTGGCTCCCAACCAATGCGAGTGCTTTCCGGGCTTCATCAAGCGTCCGCAGCGAAATGTCTGTGAGGCAGAGTGTCACATGTAAGTCCCCAGATCCAACCTTGCCACACTTATCGTATCCGAAATTCCCTTAAAGTAATTGCGAGAATGGCTTCTGTGAGTCGCGGTACAAGTGCCAGTGTCGGGAGGGCTATCGTTATGATCTGAACACCACCAGCTGTCTCCCAGAGTGCGTAGACGACTGTGGCCATGGGAACGGAGTGTGCATTGCCCCTGGGGTTTGTCGCTGCTTCGAGGGACACGAGGGCCGAGGCAATGGCTGTCATCCCAAGTGTGATGGGTAGGGCTAGTAGTGGAACTTGTCCCTATATTATATATGTTTTATTCTGTAGCTCCTGTGGGCCGCACGGTCTGTGTCTGTTGCCCAATATCTGCGGCTGTCTGCCTTCCCAGCAGCACTGCCTGAATGGCAGCTGCGATGCCAACGGCCACTGCAGTTGCCCCAAGGGACAAACGCACTTCATCGATCGCTGCCTGAAGCCCACACAGCTCATCCAACAGTTGGTCACGAATGAAAGAAGACTTCACTTTAACCAGCAACTTGGCTATGAGTTTAGCGCCCTGATCGGACGATACTTTAATCTCAGCTAACTCACACAATAAAGATTCGATTCGCCTTACTAGACAGCCGCACAAGTCTGCCTGCCTTTGATGCCGCTCTTGATGAATCCTGGCCGGCAAATGCAGAAATTGGGTGCAGAGCAGAAGCCATTGGGACAGCCCTGGGGGCAGTGGGGCTGGCACATGTACCGCTGGTGCTCGTCCCGCACGTATCCCGGCTTGCACTCGCATTGGTTGTTGCCCACGCAGACTCCATTGAGGCAGGGCACATCGCACTTGGGCAGACACTCGGCAGTCCTACGATCCCACTCGAAGCCATAAGCACACTCGCAGGTGTCCGGTCCAATGCAACGGCCGTTCTTGCAGGGTCTGAAAGAAGAGAAAATATTATATGGAGTTTGATTGTTGATTTGAACCTTTCCACTTACTGCTCGCAGATGGGCTCACAGCGTCCCTGCAGCTTGAGGTAGCCCGACTTGCAACTGCAATGACCTGGCGCCGTGCACTGTCCGTTCTCGCAACTGTCGCAGACGGGCTCACAGCTTCCATCAACCGATTGACGATAGCCCTGCAGGCATTCGCACTTGTTCGGTGCCACACAGCGTCCCTGGGCACAGCCCTGCTTGCACTCCGGCTGGCAGTACTTGCGGCTGACGGGATCCAGGGCGTAGCCCTCCCTGCACTGGCACTCATTCCGCTCGTTGCACACTCCGTTGCCACAGCCCAGTGGGCAGGTGGAGATGCACTTCCCCTCGGTCGTACGCACATGGTTGGGCATGCAGACGCAGGTGTTGGGCGCCGTGCAGATTCCATTTGGGCAATCGTCCGCGCAGATCGGATCGCATTTTCGATAGATGTGCGGATTGCGCTCGTAGCCCTCGCAGCACACCTCAATGCTGCTCATGTCCGGGCTGGTGCCATTGCCAACAAATCTTTCACGCGAATTGCGCAGGAGAGAGGCTGTGCTGTAGGGATGGAAAGGGATGTGAAAGATGATATGAACTAGAGGATTAATTCCCATTACACATCATACAAAAGGTGCCCAAGAATTTTGTTGATAGGTAAGTCAATTGTCTTTGCTTTAAGGTACGAATATTTTAAATAATTTCCTTTTTTTCTACCTAGAATTCTCCATTGATCTGTTGCAATGTTCCTTTCAGGCTTTCCTCATTCAATTGATTCTAATATCTTTTCAAGTTATCTTGAACTTTTTTGCTTATAACCCGGAATAAAAAAACATTTCTAAGCATTTTTCTAGACTGCCTACGGCTCCCTTCGGTCATTGCCAATCGACTGCATTCCTTTCGTATCGCATTGCATAATATCACTAGAAATGCTGGCGACTTTGCATACGTCGTTTAAATCCGAGTATATTATTGTGTTATTCGCCCGACAAACACAGTGAACCGAGTGGCTTCATTATCAGGAAAGTGGAGGATGTCGAGGTCGTTAGTTCACTATTTTAATGGTTCGCCTTGTTTTCGATTTCTTTACCAATTGGTGCGATAATCATAAGTTTTTCGTTTTAGTTTTAAAGTTGTTTGTTCTAGGTTTTCCCCGAAACTTACGGCACTTCCTTGTAGCACACACCGCTGGCCATGGCCGATCGCGTTTTGTTGATGAACAGCGCCGTCTCGTCCAGAACTTGTGGGGCTCGTGTCGCTGGCGGTCCAACCGGCTGCACGTAGTGTCCGTACAGGGGTGGGGTGGTTGCGGGCTGGTAGGTCTCGGCAGGGACAAAGTCGCTCCATCCATGGCTGGTCTGGTTCTGGGCACTCCAGCCGTAGTTGCTCTGGCTGGAACTGTTCCACCCGTACCCTGTCTGGTTGTACTCACTGGCATTGCCCGACAGCTGAAGATTACCCGATGGGGGCTGGCGTGTTTTAATGCCCGCCGTCTTGAACTGTGCCTGGCCAAGGGAGCAGCTGGCCAGCAGGAGCGTCAGGGCGAATATCTGACACGATGACCTCATGCTGATGTCACTTTTTGTTCTCTCGGATTAAAAGTGTAAAGTACGTTCTTATGCGCCCACGTCCGTTGGCGTCTGCTGTTGCACTTCGACTAATCGACTCACAATAAACGGGCTCTAATGCGAAAGCTGAGTCTGTGAGTCTGTGAGTCGCAAATCGCCTCCAGCGACCTCTTGCCCGTCCCCTAATCAGCACCTCGCCATTGAGCGTATCAATGGAACAACCAGAACGAAGGTTTGCTCTCAGTAGCTGAACAGATGTACGAGCTTTATGGCAAAAATAATTTGAAAATTAACAATTTCTATTTGCTTTTGCTTATGCCCAAACAATTTGTGAGTGGCAGTTCCAAGAAAGAGAGTAACAAGTGATTGTGATTGATATGCCTTTAAGCATTTTCGCGAGCTCCAACAGAAACTATTGGAAGATATATTTATGTATACATAAATCCCGTAACTTTAGCAATTTATTTAATACAAAATTGTGCTTGAAGACGATTTTTGTACTTTTTTTATGCGAAACTTTGGCCTTCTGTTACTACATGGTAATAAATGAATTTTCATCCAATGCCAAATATTCTAGCTGTTCCCATACCGCAAATTCCTGGACATCTCTCTTATGCTCTCTCCCTATGAGAATGTTTAAGAGAAAGAACGATAGCTCAGCCACGGAAAATAGTTTTTCATCTTTATGACTTTAGCAATAATGATAATCATATAATTCTACGTTTTTCAAATTGTTTGCATCCTTAAAATAGTGGACAGCAGAGCGTTGATTGATCTACCTCGTAGAGTCTCTGAGAGATAGGAAATATTAAGAATATTTGCAGAAAGTAGCACTAGATTTTATTACGGCTTCATGGACATTTAAATGTACGAACAAATGCGAATATTTGTGGAAATAAATGAATGATTTTCCTAGTCTAAATGGTGTCATCCACTTTACATCCGCTTACACCGCCGCTCCTCACGATAGTAGCCCGGAGCACACTCGCAGTAGCCTGGCGAGAGGCACAAGCCGTTCGCACAGTCCTCCGTACAGATGGGCTGGCATCTGAGGTTCCGTGGGCTGCCATGGTTCACGTAGCCCTCGCAGCAGTAGGAGATCTGGCGGAGTCTCGCATTCGGGTTGATGGTTTCCACTCTGCAAGATAATTGTGATGTGAGGAACTCGTTGTGCGTTGTGTGGGAACTCTGGGAGTGGGCCTACATCTCCTCTTTGTAGCAGACGCCGGAGTCTCGCGTGGCCAGCATCTCACGCTCCCAGTTCTGTTCGGGCAGCTTCAGCCAGAACTGAGCGTCGGTGGGCGAGGGCAGCTCAATCGCTAGGCAGACGATAAGAAGGCCAATCAGTGGGGATTTCAAGTGCATTTCGTTTCAGATGAATGTGGGGCCGTGCGTCAGCGCTGCGCTCGCCAGTGTCTCCGAGCTACTAAATTGTCTTCTCAGTCCGGCACGGCTTTTATGTGTATGGAGAAAGAAATTGTCTATGTTCAGCGCATAGATAATTACTCGTATTATTCTAAAATAGACAATACACCAGAGGCGTCGCTCAAAAGGGGGCCACACACTGATAAGACCCACTCGGCGGTTGAGAAATATTTTCATGTTTATTTATTATTATTTTCTTAGTGACTAAAAATCGAGAGAGAGAGAGAGAGAAAAAGAGAGAGAGAGTGTTTACGTTATCAGTCCGCTCCGCTCACAGCCACCACATTGAGTTGTGGAACCTCTCGGCACCACCCAAGATAAAGTGCCTGCCCAGCAGGAGCTCAAACTCGAGGATGAGGGAGCTATTCGCTCGCGTTGGATCCACCGAGGCGTATGTGGTGACCGTGTCCGGCGACATGCACTTGTCAATGAATCGCATCTTCCCCTCCAGACAGCGACAGCGTCCCAGGGAGCTGCACATTCCCATTGCACACTTCTGATAGCTGGACTCGGGTCCCGGCACTATGGCACAGCCACACACATTCGGCGCAATGCACTTGCCATAAAAGCCACAGCCACGATCGCACACAGCCTCACACTTCTCCCGGTTCCGCACATAGCCGTTGAAGCAGCGACAGTTCCCTGGGGATATGCAAACTCCATTCTCACAATTGTCCCCACAGTCCGGCAGGCAGCTGGCCGTATTATTGTCATACCGGAAGCCATTCTGGCAGACACAAGTCGTCTCGTTGGCACGGAAGCCATTCTCGCAGCGTCTGTACGGGGAGATCGGTATTGGTTCTTGTATGAATTCAGCCTTTCCTTTCTCAACACTTACTTGTAGAAGCCGTTCTCGCAGGAGGTGCCATTGATGCGCTTATGGTAGCCCGGGAAGCACTCGCATTGGTTTGGCGCCACACAGTAGCCGTATCCACAGTCGGGAATGCAAATGGGTTGACAGCCCAAGGCCGCCGACTCGCGCAAACCCTTAACGAAACCCTCGGCACAGGTGCACTTGCCGGGCTCCATGCACACCTCGTTGTGGCCACATGTCTGATTGCACTGCGGCTGACAGAAGAGTCGCGAGCCATCCAGCTCGTAGCCCTTGTCGCACTGGCAGGTGCCATTCAGAAAGCAGCGGCCATGCGGACAGCCTAGAGGGCAAGTTGGCACACAATTGTTGCGGTAGTTGAGCACAAAGTCGTCAAAGCACTGGCAGATGCCGCCGGCCAGGCAGAAGCCATTCTCCTGGCATCGATCGTCGCAGTCGGGGACGCACCTGCTCCAATCGTACTCGTAACGCCGCCAGCCCTTGCAGCACACTTCGATCACATTGAAGTGACGATTGGTGGTGCTGTTGCCCACGATCTTCACCTCCTTGTCGTACTGGAAGAACACAGCACTAAGCAAAGGAATAGATTTGTTTGCTAGATTCAATTCAGAGCCTACTCACGGAACTTCCCGATAGCACTTGTCCGGATGCTCTCCCCGTCGTGGCAGCGACAGGCCGTTGGGAATGATGAAGGGCTTGCGACTGGTGGTCGTCGAGGAGTGTCGTCGCTGCTGGGCCTGCTGTTCGCGCTGCTGCTGCTGCCGCAGTTGATATTCCCTGAGGCGCGCCTGTTCGTCCTGCTGCTGCTGCAGTTGCTGCTCATGCAGCTGCAGCTCCATGGCCTGCAGCAGACACAGGAACAGCACCAGCAGCACCGATTGGATACACAACGTACGCAAAAGCTGCGACATTTCAGCCTTGTTGGTTGAGTTACCGCAGCGCTCAAGTCGCGATTGCTGACTGTTTGGGCAGCGACGTTGATCACTTGGGTCAGTCGGCGCCAGAGCCAGAGGCTGAGATAAGCGGGCTTGACTTTTTAATTGAAATACGAGAGCAGGGGGTCTGGGGGAGAGATTGATCCAGAGACGCGCTGCGGCGCACTTGTCAATGTATGTCAATCGAAAGAGTAGCTAATTGAGACATTAGTTGATTGAGCAAATTAATAAAAATATGCACAAACAATATAGAAATTATTTCATGATGTGAAATCTCAGAAATATTTTTGAATAATTCTTTGTATATTTCCTGATCTTGGCTGAAGTCGAGTAGGAATCGGAAGCCTCTCCTTCATCTGTAACCTAATAGAACGAGCGTGTTTATTATTTTGTAATCATCTCTAAAGCCACAACCGAATTCCGCTCTATTTTGCTTAGGCTTTGAGACCCTAAACTGATAAGACCACGCTGGGTAGGCGGGAGGCTTGCTAATCTCAGGCACATTAGTAGGATTTTAGCAAGCGTATTGCGAGCAACGTAAACAGACCGCAATCGAAAAGTTAACTTCGAAATGTGGTTGCATGAGGCGAGCCAAAGTCTGGGCCTGCTGCTACTCTGCCTGGTTTTGGGACTGCCCAGTAGCCGCATGAATGTGCCCAACTACTCGGAGTACGATGCCCCGAATCGTTATGATCCGAGGCGTCCTCTGTCGCAGGATCCAAGCCAATTTGGACGTCGCTATACGCCCAACAGACAGTCGCTCTCGCAGCCGCTGTACAACCGTGCCGGAGGTGCACACTATGAAGTTTTGAGGCCTTTGGAACAGCCACCGAAGCGGCGTGAGCATCTGATTCGCTCCCACGAGACGCTCTTCGACAAGGTACAGCACAAGTGCCGCATCTGGGTGCCGTAAGTAGATGCGACGCTCTGGTATAAACATTAAACATTACATCACTCCCTTTTGCAGTCCTGAAACGGTCTTCAAGTACCCGCATGCCAACACCATTCAGACAGATCTGGCCAACAAGTTAGCCCTGATCGAGGTCTGCTGCACGGGCTACTCGGCCAGCCGCCTGCTGGGAGTGACCCAGTGCCGTCCCCTGTGCGGTTGTCAGAACGGAAGCTGCCGCTCACCAGGGGAATGTGACTGCTACGAGGGCTTTGTGAAGAACGACAACGGGGACTGTGTGTTCGCCTGTCCGCTGGGATGCCAGAACGGCCGCTGCTTCCTCGACGGCAGCTGTCTCTGCGATCCTGGCTACAAGCTGGACGAGACCAGACGCTTTTGCCGGCCCATCTGCAGCAGCGGTTGTGGCAACAGCCAGCGCCACAACTGCACGGAGCCCGAGGTGTGTGGCTGCTCCAAGGGCTACCAACTCACCGACGATGGCTGTCAGCCAGTCTGCGAGCCGGACTGCGGCATTGGCGGACTCTGCAGGGACAGCAACGAGTGCGAGTGCGGACCGGGATACATGCTGAAGGATGGTGTCTGTCAGACCGACTGCTATCAGTGAGTAAATAAATCATTTCACTGTTAAATATTACACCTTTACCTAACACAGAAAGTGCAGCAATGGCGTTTGTGTCAGTCGGAACCGATGCATCTGTGATCCGGGCTTTGGCTACCACGAACCTTCGACAATGTGTATTCCGGTCTAGACGCTAAGCTCAAAGCTCAAGTAAACCTTCGATTATGCATTTATTTAGTTTAAATAAAATAAAACAAATTATTATTCTATAGACTATCCTCGCATATGGCTTCATCGACTTGGTAAGCGCGTTTGCTGGCATATTTTGGATACAATTTAAGGGCTATGGCCACGACGATGGCCACAAGACCAACGACGGCAATGCACCAACCCACCACGTGGAGCCAGCCCAATGACTTCGAAGTGTCTTTGGCTGCCTCGATCTTCCCTAGCTTGGGCTTCTTGCATATGTAACGCGCCTGCTCGGAACTGTAATCCCCACTTCCCTCACACACTAATTGGCCACTTGAGAGATCGCAGGAGCACTCACGCAGATCCAGGCAGGGCTTGTCATGTGAATCCTGACAAAGCTGGACACACTTGGCGTTGGTCAGGGGACCCAGTTCGTCAAACTCATTCCAGCACGGGCAATCCTCCGAGCAGTTCGCAACTGGCAGTTGCAGCAGGCCTGCGAAAGGGACCACCGCAGGGTTGGTGGAATCATCAGAAGGTGTGGAAAACGAAGCAGTTGTAGAGGTAATCCGAAGAGTACATCCCTCTTCTGTCTGCTCATAGCCAGGCCGGCATGTGCACACCTCTGGCTCGAGGCAGTCACCGTGCTCGCAGCCCTTGCTGCAGTGGGGAATGCAAGTGGAGTTGGAGCTGTGCTCGTAGCCTTCCAGGCAGCTGCATTGATCCGGTCCAGTGCATGTAGAATTCACACAGCTTGTCTCACACACGGGTTGACACACGTTTTCCACCGGCTGGTAGCCCACGTGGCATAGACAGATCTCAGGGGCCACGCAGTCGCCGTGCTCACAGCCCTTCTCGCAGACCGCCTCACAAATATGCTGCGAGCTGCCCTGGAAGCGGTAGCCAGGCATGCAGGAGCAAGTCTCCGGCTGGGTGCACTCTCCGTGCACGCAGTTGAGGCTGCACTGTGGCTCGCAGGTCTGGTTGGGGCCCATCAGATAGCCAATGCTGCAGACACACACTTCCGGGAAGAAGCAGAAGCCATTGGCACAGCCCTGGCTGCACTTTGGCTCGCATTTGCCGTCCTCCCCGGTGGCCACGTAGCCGGGATAGCACTCGCACACATTGGGGGCTGTGCATTGGGCGTAGTCCGAGCACTGCTGCGGACAGTGCGGCTCGCAGCGGTCTGCCTTCATGGTGTAGCCCGGATCGCAGATGCAGACGGAGGGTGTCAGGCAACTGCTGTGCTCGGGACAGCCCTGGGAGCAAACGGGCAGACAGTTTCCCACTTCGCCTTCGGCATAACCCGCCTCGCACTCGCACACTCCGGGTCTCACGCACTGACTGTGATCGCCGCAACCAGCGTTGCAAATGGGAACACAATTACCCTCACCGTCCGCCTGGTAGCCCTTCTCGCAGGCACAGACGTTCGGCTGCTGGCAAAACGAGTTGGAGCCACATTCGGGCGAGCAGACTGGCCTACACGAGTCGTTGCTCGCCGACTTGGCATAGCCGACGATGCACTCGCAAACTCCCGGCTCTGCGCAGAAGCTGCTATTCCCACAGGGATCTGGGCATACGGGCAGGCACTCGCCTTCGCCGTGGATCTTCTGGTATCCCTCATTGCAGACACAGCGATTCGGACTCAGGCAATACTCGTTCCTGCCGCAGTTGGAACAAATGGGATGGCAATCGGCTCCGCCATAGCCATCCTTGCAGCTACAAATATTCGGAGCGGTGCAGTAACTATTCCCGGAACAGCCTCCAGCGCACACGGGCTTACAGTTGATGATCGAACCCTCGTAGCCGTCGCAGCAATATTGTTTTGTTTCGCTTCTATAGTCCACCTGGGGGAGAGCACAAACACGCATAAATATGGCATGAAAGTAAACAAATTTCTTTCATTTTTGGAAGTTCTTTATTACCACATCTTGCCATCCATACTCCATACGATACTTGGTCTCCCAGCCTCTCCAGAAGGAATGCTTTTGATACGGCACCTGTCGACCCTTGTACTCCGATCGCGTGTACGGAACACTCTCCACGCGCACACAGACCTTTGGATCGTAGGCCTGAACCGCACAAATGTAGCCCACACCCAGGATGAAGACGAAGCCCATCCAAAGATCTACTTTATGAGTCATGGTTTTTGTTTTAGTTTGTGCAATTCAGTTCTCGTATCTTCAAGTAACCGTTCAGTTCTGCGTTCTGTACAGTGTTCCGAATTAAACTGAGCTCTCAAACTGCCATTTACATTTATGTTCTCGCAGCTAGCAGTATTTGTATTCGGTCACATCCGTTGGCTTCGAGATAAACTATACTTTTGCACTCGCAAATATTGGAAGCTCGATTTTATCTCACTAATGCTGTGTGTATCCATCCTGGAATTCGAGTATTGCATTCTTTGATAAGCGTAGTCTTCCAACGACCTTGATCAAAAGTCTTTTCTTGGAGCTACTTTACGGATATCTCTTTACATATTTGACTCTATATTTAAAGACTTGTCGCTAATCTACATTTAGTACATTTACTGCGCAAGTATGAAAGACCAGAGCTGCTCTCTGCGTATCTGTGCTTATTTCTGAGTAAGAAACATAATTTTCAGAACATTTTTTGACTGAAAATATATTTACATATATGAATATTTATCTTGGGAAGCTTAGCTGGAAACAAACGTTGTATTACTCATAGAAAAGTCAGTGAGTCACATTTCAAAGTCATGAATATTTTCCGCTATTAGATCTTTGAGGTCATAGCTTCCATAAATATGGAAATATAATTCATTAGTTAATTAATCAAAGCTAAATCCTATTCATATTTGTACGAGTATATGCCCACAGCCGTAGCTCAAATTGCACGATAAGCGAAATCGCAAAACTCAAGTTGCATACGAGAGTATTCTCAATGTTAAGGATCTCTATTGGCGTGTACTGCACTTGGACTCGTATCGCAATCTCTGCCATTGGGATGCTATTGTTCTGCCTGTCTTCTATGGGTTCAATAAACACATACAGCACATGGGGTATCTGTCCCATATATGTACACACATCGAGAAGCAGCAGAAAAATATAAATGCTAGGATGATAAGCGGCCATGTCGGGATGGCTGGTCCATCGTAATGTAATTGAGAACTCACTTGTCTGATCATTTGTCAAGTGTATCTTAAAGTGAGCAGTTGCCCCGTGCGCCTAGATCATTCCTAAATATGTGGGGCCTTGTGCTAATAATACTCTCAGGTGTCTGCCTGCAGGCTCAGGCCTGTGTCGAACGCGTGCCGTGAGTAAAATTCTTGGGAGCGTATATCTTTTGCTCTAACTTTTCGAATTTCAAGTCTAATGAAAATGCGCGGCACTCTGGTAACCATGCGAAAATATCAGGGCCTGACCAATTGCACTGGCAACTGCGGATCCTTGGTGGGACGACCTAGAACAGAGGTGAGACCATGCAGCGCCTTAAGTGATTTATGTTCATTATTTGTTTCTGTAGACTTACATGTCGTATGAAGAGGTCTGCTGCGAGGGATACTTTCGCAACGAGAACGAGTGAGTAGAGATTTTACCAGCTGATTGCGCGAAGCTTACCAAAGCTCCGTTTTCCATTCAAGTGAATGTGTTCCCCAGTGCGTGGATTGCGGCGCCACTGGCAGATGCCTCAGCCCACATGTTTGCCTGTGCGGAAAAGGCTTTGCGAATCGAAACAATCGCACAGTCTGTGAGCCAGAGTGCAGCGAGACATGTGTGAACGGCAGCTGTGTGTCGCCAGACGAGTGTCAGTGCCGGGATGGGTACCGCTTTCGCGCCGAATCTCGGACAGAGTGTGAGGCGGTGTGCACTGTGGACTGCGAGAACGGGCACTGCCCGAGCCCAGCGACATGCGTCTGCAACATTGGTTATCAGCGCGATGAGGAGCTGAAGAAATGTGTGCCCATATGCCAGGACGAGTGCGTTAACAGCGAGTGTGTGGCACCCAACGAGTGCAAGTGTCACGCTGGCCACGAGAAGCGAGTGGCACAGCCCTGGAAATGTGATCCCGTCTGTTCGAGTGGCTGCAACAATGGAATTTGCGTAATGCCAGAGACCTGCTACTGCAAACTGGGCTACAGCCGCATCTCCAATCATATGTCTTCCGGCTGCGTGCCCTTCTGCGATCCTGCCTGCGTGAACGGCACCTGCATCTCACCTGGTCACTGCGCCTGCGCCGAGGGCCACGTCTTTGCGGACGACTCGCACAATGTGTGCGTGCCCAGCTGTCGGTCGGGCTGCGAGAACGGGTTCTGCCGATCGCCAGGTCAGTGCGAGTGCCACGAGGGATTCGTGAAGAGCTCCCCACATCGCTGCTCACCCATTTGCAGTCCATCCTGTGGAAGCAATTCGCACTGCATCGCCCCGGACACGTGCGCCTGTGACAACGGGCACGTCTTTGTGAATGGCAGCATCACGGAGTGTGAGCCCTACTGCCCGCGTAGCTGTCGGAATGGCATCTGCAGCAGTCCCGGCGTGTGCACCTGCCTCGAGGGCTACCAGGCCTTGCTCGCCTTCTACTGCATTCCCATTTGCCCGAAGCCCTGCCTGCACGGCAGCTGTGTCGCCCCCAACGAGTGTCGCTGCTTCACCGGCTATCGGCCAAGTGCCACCCAGGGGTCTAGCGTCTGTGAGCCGATTTGCAGCCAGGAATGTGGAAATGGCCGCTGCATAGCTCCGGAGATCTGTCAGTGCGAGACAGGCTACTATAAGCGCTGGCCGACTGGCACTTGCCAGCCGTACTGCCCCCAGAAGTGTGTCAACAGCCACTGCGAGGGCTCCGGGCAGTGTCGCTGCTACGAGGGCTATCGACTGAGAGCCGGCTCCAACTCCATCTGCGATCCCGAGTGCTCCCCCAGCTGCATCAACAGCACCTGCGTAGAGCCCAACAGCTGCGCCTGCCTCGAGGGCTACGAGGACACCAGACTCCACTTTCAATGCGTCCCCAGCTGCCGACCGCGCTGCGAGAACGGACGCTGCTCGGCTCCCGGCCAGTGCGACTGCAATCCGGGGCACGCGGTGAGCAACTCCAGCCAGCCGCACATTTGTCAACCTCAATGCCAGAAGCAGTGCATCAATGCCGAGTGCCTCAAGCCGGAGACGTGCGTCTGTCTGGATGGATATCGAATGCTGCCCGACAGCACCAGCGAATGCGAACCCATCTGCTCCCATGGCTGCCTCGCGGGACAGATGTGCACAGCTCCGGAGACCTGCGAGGGATCGGAGGAGGATTCGGATCGGGGCAGCTTTCTACCCTCCACCGGCAAGCACCTCGCCTTCCACTGGTCAATGTTCGTCCTGGCCATCCTGCTCTGCCTGGCCCTGGTCATGACTCCGCTGATGGTCGTTCGAGAGATGCAGCGTCGCCGTCGCAACGGCGACAAACAGCAAGTTCATCTCATCGAGAATCCCTCTTACGGTGTCATTTTGGCCAACAGCGAGGAAGGGGCAGTCGAGGAAGGCATCGGACTGGGCGACTAGCCTGAGCCTGAACATATTTTAATTTTAAATTCAGTAAATTAATTTCCTAACTAATAAAATCCATGATCGATAATTATCGTGATCAAATTAAAATTGTTAACAAAGAAAACAAAACAAATTCACAACAAAACAACTCTTTAGTCAATCTTCTCTGATTCATTCCACTATGACTTCCCTCTGGGGTCAAGAGTTGTTTGTATTTTTGGAATGGGTCTGGAGTTCTAAAAGCATTAATGTTAGACCACATCAACCATCAACTGGATCATGTTCATCCTTGCCATCCTCTTCTGTCTGGACATGGTGATGTTTCCGCATCGAATAAATATAAAACCCATTTATAACTAAAAGATTCGCTTGTCGCATGTTGTCTAGTTTAATTTCAATGTTTATGTTTATGTTTATGTTTATGTTTATGGCTTGGTTTGGTTTCCAGTTTTACACCGATCGATGCTTGGCATCTTCGCGAACATAATCGTAATTCACACATACACATACATAAATACAAATACACACGTAAGAATATACATATATGTACATATATGTATACGAGAATGTAGCTACACTAAACAAGTATGGATTAATGTAAACCTACTTTAATAATTTATGTAATACATAATACTCTTTGACCAACCCACTCTGATCCATCTTTTGGCGGCTGTGATGGATGGAAGTGGACAAGAACTATCCTTGGGGTCGCTTAACGGCCACAATCCATGTTCCTTTCCTTTTCCTACAGATGGTTATGGTCATTCCCTCCGAGATGCTTATCTATGGTTAAATATCTCTGATCAACAGCTCCTTTGTCGGACCAAAGACATTTCCGGGCAGTTGCGTGTTAAGCTTGAAGTGGATCAGAGTCGGCGTGGGGTTTTGCTTAACGAATTGACTACTTAAGACTACGTACAATACGAGTATGTATGTGTGTGTGTGTCATGTAATGGGGTTTGCTTTGTGTTACTTTGTCTTTAGCTATCCTAAGTCCCTAACCTTCGCCCCCCATCCCCGTCCCCTACCCCGTCCCCGCATACAATCTATGAACACAGTTTGCTTTCTGTTCCCCTACAGGAAGGTCTCCCGGTTGACTCTGCCCATCCTGCGCCAGCCCCAGTCCAGCCACCATCATGGCGGTGCATCGTTGGGATCGGGTGGCGGCTTCTCCGGCTGCAGCATCGCTGGCGGCGTGGTTGGAGCTGGAGCTGGAGCTGGAGCTACGATGAAGCCGCTGGATGCGCCCGGCAAGGGCATGCCCAGAAATCCAGCGACCCCGCTGGCATTGGCCGAGTCGCCATCCTCCATGATGACCGAACTGTCGGCCGCCGACGGGATGGTGGGCAGGAAGCGCACTCCCAAACGCGGGGGCGAGGAGTCCTCCTCCTCCTGGACCGCCTCCTGTCGCACCAGACGGGGCTTAGTCGCCTCGTTCAAAGTCTTTCCATTGTGTGCTAAGCAAAGAATGGATTATAATAGATAATATAATGGATTACCATAGATTTCTCCCACCTATGATCGAGGGTAGAGGCGTGCTGCTGCCGGCACTGGAGCGGGATAGCCGGAACGTCGAAGTGCTGGCAGTGGTGGCTGAGGCCGAGGAGTCATTCCTCGAGCTGGACAGATTCGAGTCCTGGGACGTCTTTCGCGTGATCAGCCAGGCGGAATGTCTCCTCCGTCCGTGGCCGTGCATATGGCCGTGGGGCTCCATCATCTTCAGCGGCATGCTGCAGTTGTTCTGCGGCACTGGGGCGGACGATGGCGGGCCATGCCTCCAGCTGGACGAGCGCGAGCTGCAGAAGTTCTCGCTGGAGATGGAGCTGGCTCGGTTCTGGCGCTGCTGGCGCAGCTCCGCGAACTGGTACTGGTAGGGATTGGCGGCTGCAGCGGTGTAGGCCCTGGGTCGTCGCTGCTGCGGCTGACGGCGCTGCTTGCGTCGGCCTCGCCGGTCGCCGCAGCAGAAGGTTCTGAGGCGCTGCCAGAGACCGGGCGCCTGCTCCATCTTGTGCCAGTTGGGCATCTCGCTGGGCAGCATTCTCAGGCAGCGACAGCCCGGCGGATGAGCCGCAGCCGGCGGCAGCAGGGGCGGTGGAAGCTCCCCCCTCTTGGCCCGGGCCACAGCACCCCTGGTGCCCGGTCCGCCGCCCATAACGCGCGACTCCTCAAAGTGTTTGCAGAGCGTGACGCAGTCCTTCTTGAACTGCTTCGTCATGATGGCGTAGAGGAAGGGATTGCAGCAGCTGTTCAGGGGCAGAACGAACACCGTGAAGATCTTGGCCTGCTCCAGGGAGATCAGCTGCAGCCCAAAGATGGCCGTGATCGAGAAGAAGGCAATGGGGGACCAGCAGAGGAAGTCCGTGAAGACGAGCAGGGCCATGCGCTTGGCTATCCGTGAGTCGTTCGTGTTCCAGGCCTGACTGCCTCGGATGGCCCAGTACATCTTCAGGTAGCAGCCCATCAGCGTGAGAAAGGCACAGCCATTGATGATCATCAGGGAAATGACGTAGGTCAGACTGGCCACTCCCGTTGTCGTCTCGAAGGGCAGACACACGGCGAACTTGCGGTAGTCCGAGACGCCCAGCAGTGGCAGCAGAGCCATGATCAGAGCAAAGACCCAACCCACGCTCATGATATAGCCGGCCTGCCGCAGGGAAAGTCGCTTGTTCAGGTGTATGGCATGGGTGATGGCATAATTCCGCTCCAGCGTGATCACGGCCAGGGTGTAGACCGAGAGCTCGGAGCTGAGCACGGCCAGGAAGCCGGCCAGCTGGCACAGCAGCGACATCTGCCAGGGAATGGCAAACATCCGAAACTCTCCGAGTGTGGCTGCGTCCACAATGGCAAGAATGCCCAGGTAGATGCCCATGAAAAAGTCAGCAGCTGCCAGATTGCACACCAGAAACCTGGGCACATCCATCTTGGAGCGCGAGCAGAGGAGCACAAAGACCACGGTGCCGTTGCCGAGCAGCGCCAGCAGGAATACCACCCAGACGCCGCAGCGCAAAGTCCACCAGTCGAAGAGATCGGCGCAGGGCAGAAAGGGACCCGGCATTGGCAGACATTGCACCGAACCCGGCTGAAAGTCGTCCGCGGACATGCCCGAGAACAGGCCAGTGCCAAAGCCATAGCCCGTAGCCGGGCCGCTCACGTCGTGCTCCTCGAAGTACTCCTCCATATAGCTGGTGGGTAATTGTCCACCCGTGGCGGACTGCAGCTGATCCTCGCCAAAGGTGGCGCCCTCCCAGGGATCGTGCATGGCTGCGCCCAGCTGCTTGCTGAGATTGTCTGAAAGGGGGAAACAATTATCGCTGATCTCATATGGCATTACTCTGCAGATACTCACGCATTTGTGGCCAAATATTCATCATGCTGTTGTTCCACAGCGTCATGTCGAACTCCGCATCGGAGGGAAAGAGTACCGCCTCCTGCACTTGTGAGGTTTTCCTCTTGGCGGACATGGCAACCAGCGGCAGAAAGGCGCAGCAATGATAGGCATACGACAGAATCAGAGTTTGAATGCGCGGAAAGGTGTCTGGGGGCGGAAAGTCCCTCAACTTGGGATTGTTGAAGGTCTTCAGGTGCAGCAGAGCTCTCAGCCCTGACTCGGGTAGCTCTGGGAAGATGTTGTTGCCCAGATTGAGATCCTCTAGGGCGGTGAATCCCGCAAAGGCGTCTTTGTGTATGAAAGTAATATCATTGCCCTCCAGATCGCTGTGGATAGAAGATCAATCAACACATTAGAAGGGGTATCAAAGTTCCCGCAAGAATCTTATCTTACAGCAGCTGCAGCTTGGGCATGCCCTGGAACGAATCCTGTGGCAGTGCACTGATGCGGTTGTAGGAGAGTAGCAGATCGTTCAGCTTCTTCAGGCCATAGAAGGGTTTGCCCTGAAGGCTCTCAATTTGATTGCTCGATAGATCTCTGAAATGAATGGAAAGTCAGAGGAAGCTCCCAGTCACAATGTAATCGTACTCACAACAGCCTTAAGTCTCTGCAGCTACTTAAATTTGGGATGCGTTTCAGGGAATTGGTTTTAAGTTCTCTGAAAGAAACAGAACAGTTCATCATATTCCAGTTGTAGAATGTTCTACCAGACTTACAAACTCTTCAGTCTTGGCGTTTGACGGCACAGATTCGATGGCACATCCTGAATGCCCGCACGGTCCAGCTTGAGTATCTCCAGAGCGTGGCAGGCCTCGAGATCGGGAAAGGAGCGCAGAGTTCGCACATCCGAAAGGATTCTACAGCAGATATAAGTTCTTTGACTTAAGATCAAACAGTGATTGAGTGGAACTCACAGCTTTCTCAACTTGCTCATTCCTCGAAAGGCGCCAGCCGTTATGGTTGACAGGGGATTGGCTCTCATGTCCAGCATTTGCATGCTCCTGGGCAGCTCCGTGTTGTTTATCCAACGCAGTCGATTGCTGGTCATAGAACTACAGGGGAAAGAAGGAATTTTAATAAAAGCATTTACCCAGTGCCAAGAAAAGTATCTTTTGGATGCACACTCTCCTGCCAAGTGGCACTCGGAAGCAGCTGCATTTAAAAGTCAAGTTGGCCAACACACAACAACAACAGAGCCAGCAAGAAACCCAAAACTAAACTGTGACAACTGCATTCTTTTCGGTTTTCATATTGTTAACGTCTCTTCGTTTTCGTTGTAGTTTTTCTTGGCCAGCAGTCAGACGCTGGTCTGGTCTGGTCTCGAATGGAAGCTATCAAAACCGCAATCGGAGCAGCAACAAAAAGACCTTCTATGCCCGCATCCTTCTTTAAATTTCGAACCAAATAAATGAAATACTAGTATATTGTGTATGGTCTTACTTCTGCTAACTTTTCCACAAACTCCCTTCTGCTTATCTAGTTTAATTTGTGGCATTGTCTGTGCGGCAAACTTTCTTTCCTTTTGCTGACTTGAAGATTGAGCCAAAAAATTGCAGACGCTTACTGAATGTTTTAATCCTTTTAAATTTGATTTTTTGTCCGGCACACATGGCAGGAAATGTGTGAGTCCTCCCCCTCCAATTTATTTGCCAGCTTAATTCCCCAATCATGGTCACGATGGCTCTGGGATGCAGCGCAGCTTGGCTTTTATCGCAACATT